ATGTGTCTACGAGAGAAGTTAATAGCTACAGTCTTATTCGGATTGAATAGGATCTGCCATCGCTTTGACCATTCAGAGATTGAGTCAAGATCATCATTAAGCATGTTAGTAGGTGTTGTAAGGTCATTGTTATTATTTACTATTACATAGAGAGAGGTATCATCTGCAAAGAGTTTTATATGAGAAGTTACATTATTAGTAATATCATTAATAAAAAGAAGAAAGAGGAAGGGACCAAGGACAGATCCTTGAGGAACCCCTGCAGACATAGGTTTGGTACTAGATTTATAACCTTCAAAGATAACCCTTTGTTTTCTGTCAGATAAGTAAGCTTTAAACCAATTATATAATTTACCTTTAATACCATATGTTTTTAGTTTATATAATAGGCCCAAATGCCATACTCGATCAAATGCTTTACTTATGTCACAGAAAACAAAACGCAAATAGTGGACAAATAGTGGACAAATAGGGGACAAATAGGGACAAATAGAGGACAAATATGGGACAAATAGGGACAAATAGGGACAAATAGTGGACAAGTGTGTACAAATAGGGAACTAATAGGGGACAAGTGTGTACAAATAGTGGACAACATACAATACAGAATCAGCAGTATCTGCATATTTTTACATCAAAAAAGATTATTTCGTACTTGTTTTAATTTAGTCTCGAAATACGTTCTTTCACATTGATCGATTTATCTATCTATTATTATTATAACCTTAGTTTCAAACTTCTTAGAAAAAATCAAGAAGGATTCTATACAAAAAATAAAATAAAAAATAAAATAAAAAATAAAATAAAAATGACAACGGCGCGCATCGAACCCGCGAGCACGCGCCCTCAATCAGAATTTGACCAATCAGATTTAAGGAAGTAAAAGTATCAGCCACATTGAAACCCAAAACATCTAGAAGAAAAAAAAACGCATATCGACGTGCACTTTCTGCTACAGCACCGACACACTCACTACCTACACGAAAAGAAAGTTCATCTCGATTTAATACCACACTCGAAAACACCGTAAATATGCCGTGTATTTTATTTACAGTCGAACCTCGTTATCTCGAACTCGTTTAACTCGAAGACCCCGTTTAACTCGAAGTGTTTCATCGGTCCCGGCCAAAACTCTTCTTAATCTTAGTAATAAAAACTCTGATAGTTCGTACTCTGAAAACTCGAATAACTCGGATAGTTCGTACTCTGAAAACTCGAATAACTCGGATATATCGAAGTGAAATATCGGTCCCAACAACGTAAATCCTACATAAAAATATCACTTACCTCGAAGTTTCTTAAGATTCACAGGTCGATCATATATTCTTTAATTATTTGATACATATTAGACGCAGTGCTACGGTAAACATCGTTCTCATAGAGCAGCTTACGCTTGGTCATAATTTCTTCGATTAAACTTATTGTATTAAAATGTGTTTGACTGTAAAAACACTTTGTTCAAATAAAGAAACAGACTTCATCAATGTAGATTAACAACAATTAGTACTCACTGCGAGCCCGTAAACAATTTGAATGGCATATCATTTACACCAAAGCTGCCGACACATTCTAACCGGTAAATGGGTCACTGTGTGCGGTCATGCGTAAATAAGCTCCACAGTAAAAATCACAACCTAGGACTGGTTCGTCGATTTATGTTTTTACAGGAGCTTGTATGGCAGTGACACTGATAATTAATTGAGGGATTATAGGAACAATACGATAATTATTATTGAGTACGTCATGTTGAGATGTCAAGTGTCAATGGGGTCTATAAATGTTGATATGATTCCTGATTAACTCATACCCATTTCGGAATGTCGAAATCAACTGAGCAATCCAACGAAGGACCCGGCTCCACCGGGGGGATACTTGGATCAGTTGATAGGGTGAAAACCGGCGTGAAGAGAAAGATTGTGTATTGTTTTCGCGTGTACTCATTAAAAACGTCATTTACGTGTACGCTCCAATACCGTGATTTGTGTAAAGACCTGCGCACTTTCATTTCCGCTATCAGCATAGCGAGGTCGGAGACAGCATGCAAGTTTTACAGTAGACGTTCTTTGTGTTTGTATTTGTGGTTATTGTAACATTGATTTGTATCAATTAATTAATATGATTATGAATAAATTGTTATTTTTATTTTATATCGTTATCTTTTTGTCATTTATCGACTGTTTATATAAGTTGTTGATTTTTCCGACAGTCAACGTATTGATAGCCTCATATTTGACCAAACACTTTACCAAGCTTTATGCCAAACATATGAACTCGCTTAACTCGAATACTCGGATAACTCGAAGTTTTCCAGCGATCCCGTCGACTTCGAGATAACGAGGTTCGACTGTATATTGTAAATAACGCATTATTGTGAGAAACAGAGCCCCTCATTTTCACGGTGACATGATTGCAAACAATCTACAGAACCGGAAAAACCAGAAGAACAGAGAGAGAGTGAGTGTATTATTATTTATTGAGTTTATGTACAATGAAATGTATTATTTCTCTTTCTTTTTTGCTTCTATTTCTCACAGGGTCCAGAGTTCGTGTGTAGTCATACTGCTGAGCATACCTATAAAAACAAAAGGAAAGTATTTAATACAGATACAAGGGGCGATAATCCTGTCAGTACCTCAAAATTAGTGTCATCACAATCAAAACACACATGATGAAAAGATGTAGATATGAGGTCGTAGGTTCATAGCGTTGCTAAGGAAATCCGCCATCTTGGATCCGCCATCTTGTGTGTTGCTAAGGGAAAATCCGCCATCTTGGATTAAAAATGGTTGCTGGCAACCATAGGTACCAGAGTACAGTAGCGTACGGTGGCCATGGGTGATATTTTTATACAATGAATAACCCCTGTAATATAACATGTATCAAAATTAAAAAAAAAAAATCAGCACTAAAATTGGCATATACATGATGAAGTGGACTATGTGGGCTTCATACTTTTTCAAAAAAAAAATATCGAATTTGGTTTGAGACTACAATTTTGGGCATTTACAAATCTGTGTCTACACAACAAAAGCTAGCTCTTCATGTAGTCTATTTTTGTACTCAGCACATGTGTAAATATTGTGAAAAATCCACCGGAATGTCCTATGCTAAAACGTGAGTATTTCTGTTACCGAGTAGGCGATATCTAATTTCAGACAGGTTTTAAGAAAAACAATTCTACTTGCGGGGGTCAAATTCTGGGTTAAAAATCATGATTTTTTTGCATATTTTGGTGTTTTTTGATGTGGTAACCATGGTTTTCAGAAGTCCCAAATCTGGGGAAATCACTTTTTGAAAAAAAAAAAAATGTTCTTCTAAAAAACACCTATTCAAAATGTAGTTTATAAATATATACATATATGTAGGTGTGTTATGCAGGATGAATCCGCTATCCATGTTAATCCGAGACATGCCCTTTATTTTTAGGGTCAAGCCATTTCTACTGAAATTTTTTGAATCCAAGATGGCGGATTTTTCCTTAGCAACGCACAAGATGGCGGATCCAAGATGGCGGATTTCCTTAGCAACGCTACCTCATATTCACTTCTATTCATCAAGGACTGTTTTTCACTGTATGAAGTTGTTCATGTATGGGTTGAAACACAATTGTCCTTGCTTCAAGGATACATGTCCGGTTTCCCCACTGGACGACTACTTCCGGACGAAAACAATTGAAGGCAACGTGTAGCAAGGGGAAGCAATTCTGTATACGTACGCATGTGTTACCACTTCGTCGCCCGAGAGCTACGCTCGTATAATTCATAACATGGGGGTCATGCGAGATAACTGTAATATGACTTAGGCATGGCCTGGAAAGAGTGAAGCTCGTACATTTGTTTCGATAGTATAGTATATTTTTTGAATCATAACATAACCCATGTTAAAACATAAAAAATGTACCTGTATTTTTTTATATATAATATACTTGAATCTGTTGCTGGGCAAAATCATTCATTTTGAAAACAGGCATTGCCTGAAACGAGAGAAGCGTCTAAATGCTGTTTTTTTTAATCTTATTTTCTAAATAACATTATTTAAAATATTATCTATTTATTCGTTTTATAGCGATAAAGTAATTAATGTAAAATTAATAAAAAGTGAAGAAAAGCATTCGAATGAATTATGCAGCTCAAGAGAAAACACAAATGCATTTGGTACTGTTGCATTTAATTGTCCCGTCTATGGCCTCAGCGTAATGTTGCGGAAAGAGTGAGGCCCAGTAGAGGGACTTTACATTTGAAGATGTATTGTTTATCAAATACAACTGTTATTATCTGTCATTATAAGTTAAGTATATTGGTGATTAAATTCCAATTTTATTTTCCGACATGATATACTTTGCCTGATCCCTCTAAATCGTGTAAGAAGAGAATCACAATAGCTCAAACTATATACTTCCGGTTTGGGTGGAGCGAAGAAAAGACTGAAAATTTGAAAGAAGCTTCAGTTTCTATAATTTTTAATTTCATGAATTTACATAACCACAGAAAAAATTATCAAATAAATAGATATTTTTGAGAATGTGTAGCAAAGCTAAACAATATTGTAAAAATAGGACCGCGGTAACTCTATACTAGCTACTTCCGTGACAAAGGATTTTGCATGTAAGCATAGCATTTCGACGTTACCATGACTTCAATTGTTCGTACATGTTACCGGAAAAGAGCTTCGCTTCTTGCGCCTTCGCTTATGAATAATAAAATGGGGCTCATGCGGGATATTACCTGGTACTCATTGTACGATTAATTTAAATAAATGGCGACTGGTGATATATACAGATTGGATCAAAATATTAAGTGTATGGAACAGCTAATTTCATTTAAGAAATGTCCATAGTGTTTGAGCTTATTTGGGTCTCTGTGAAATACAAACACATTGAAAAAGTTTCAACTGGATCTTCGGGCTGAATTTCACAACGCTAGCAGTAGAAGTAACCTGCTTGTTATACAGACGTTTCGGTTCACTGCGGTTATCAACCCGGATTGCAAGTGTATCGCGTTTATTCAAGTTTTGTTTGTAGACTACCTCAAGTATACACAATCTGCCGGTTTATAGCACGTTGAACCACATAAACATTTAAATGTGTCTGGATGCTGTCGGCTGTCATTTTACAAAAACAAAAATTCGAACAAAAACATGTTTAGAAGCTTGCTGTGTTGTAAACGTTTACTGACGTCTGCTTCAAGATGTACACATGGAGGACTTGGTTTACCTAATGGTACGTAAAGACATTCGCAAAGTTATGATGATACAATGTTACAAGTGTCCAATATATACACAACAGATCAAAACGCAAAGATTTTTTGTTTTTAATTTTGTTTTACGTCCTATTAACAGCTAAGGTCATTTCAGGACTTGTCGTAATGTGTGTAATATATGAATGCATGGTCACATGTCATGGTTTGTTTGTGTATTTGCCTCCTTTCTTAAAGGCTGATGTGATTTCGACTTTAGAGTGCAATGTCACTGAAACACCATGCTGCAAAGGCAAGCCCCAATACACAGCACTTCACGATTTCAGATTTCTGTAAAAGGTATAACAAGTATTGAATCTCTTTTGAAAGATACATATGTAAATATAAAATATATGTAGAAAAAATTGACAAAATGCAAGTTAATTATATAAAACACGAGTTAACTGATAAAATAAGACCTACATTTTGCACTTACGTTTCCACTGTATTGGTTTTTCAGGTGCATGATATATTTATATATTATTGAAGACTAGCCAAATACTGTTGCAAGTGATATATATATACAGTTTAACGTCATATCAACAGCTGAAGTCATTTTTGAGTGTGTTGTGTATTCACAGGATATGTTGTTATACTTACCTCCTTGTAATTGCACGGATCCATGCCGACGTTATAGTGATACATCATTAAAATACCATACCGAAGGCACCCAGCACAGAGGCTATGCCTACCTTCCACACTCTCACTTGTTATCATACTTGTGCTAAACTATTTACAGTCCAAATTGAAAATTGCATGGTACATCGCATAACGTCTAGTAACGTAAACTATTTAGGTAAGTTGTTAGGATAAAAGGGATTCCCCTTTCGTATCCAAACACACTTATACATGTGTATATGTCCGCCATGATTGCTCAGATTCATATTTGTCATCAATATACTGTATACAGACGGACTACACACTATGATAGCTAAAGCGGTACGGACACTGAATACGCTTAGTTATTACGGTTTTATCTAGCGGCTCGCGTAGCTCGAATGGTTAGGCATAAGACAATTGATATAAAGACCGTGAGTTCGATCCCCAGGAGACACAAAGCAATTCCGATTTTTCGGGTGGTCAGTACGAGATTGAGATCGGTTTTGAAGAATTTTTATCGCTCAATCATTATTATCCAATCAAATTACGCGAAATTAATTTGGGTATTTGTTTCCTATTTAGTCATGGCCATTACTCTATAACCCCCCCCCAAAAAAAAAAAATCGTAACGAGTATACAACCTCTCCCCTTTTCTACCCTTACTAATAGTCACACTATACACTTAAAATTATAAAAATCGAATTAAGTGAAAGACATGATGAGGTTTATAAGAAAGAGGACATTGGTAAAGTACAGTCAGCTCCATTTTCAGTGACGAATGATGAGGAGAGGATTACATTGAACAGCATCTGCGTGATTCTAACTACAAACCACTAACACACAGTCCGTCGGATGGGACTATAAATGTTGGCCCGTGTGAGAACTGTCCAATCTCGCACGGAAAAGATCCCTCTGAGATTTTCGAAAAAGAGTAGGGGTGATAACGCCGACACAGAGGATAGGATTAGGTTTATTTTCGGCCGTTAGAACTAGGTTCTCTTTATTAGACATTTAGAAGTACTTCAAAATACACATACCAAAATAAACTCATAGAATAGTAAGGAGCTGGTACCTCACTTCCGGTCCAGGCTTGGTGCTGCTTTACGACAAGTGTAAGGTTGAGGCAAACATTAGGCCAATGAGCCTTCTTACAAAAACTAGACTTATACAATAAATACATATAAGACATCCGGCTCCTGCTCTCCCGGCTCCCTTTCTATTCCTTCACTCCATACTTTATCCCTTCTACTCAATTTCCTGTCTTTTCTTCGTCTGCTGGACAACCGAAGTACTCGGTAGTGAAGCAGACGTAAAACCAATAGATGAATGAATCAATCAAACAAAATCACACGATAGGAGGACAGCGAGGACTACACTAAGTACGTCGTTCCGTGGGCCGCAGCCGCCGTGACAACCTGTCCGCATCTGAAGAGATGTCCGCCCTCAGAGCGTGACCTGGATGGGCAGGACCTTTTGAATCTCAGAGGGCCTGGTACGCGGTATTTACCCCCTCACGTCGACCGAACACCGACCTCGTCAGTGATGGAAGACGAAAATCCAGTGATTAGAAAAAAACAACATTTTTTGAATAAATAGTTAAGTTGCAAGAAAAAACGTTTGGGTTATTAACTGTTTTACCCCGTTTTTTCCTCCGCTTCTTGTATATGTGTGTTTAAGGTAGGGCGTAAGAATTGTACCTGTCAGTATAATGTGACCGGGTGAGGGTCCTGCTGGGTGTCTTCGATATGTTTCAGTGAGGTAGCACTATATAAAGTCGGCATCAGTTCCGCGCTATCACAAGGTGACAAACACGAATATATCGCAGCCTCCCAAAACACACACGCATACACTACATCCATGAATCTTGCACACACGTCCTTAAATGACCATGGCTGTTGATAGGATGTTAAACAATACTAAACCAAACCCATACATTACAGACACTGCATTGAGATACGTCCTTAAATGACCTTAGCTGATAATACACTGTAGCGTACAGTTTGGTTTGGTTTGGGTTTATTTTGTTTAGCGTCCTATTAACAGCTTAGATAATTTAAGGACGTGCCTCCAAGTGTGTATGTGTGTAGGAGACGGGGTATGTTGGTGTATTTGCCTCCTAGTGATAGCGCGGATCTAGTGCCGACTTTATAGTGCTATCCTACTGAAATACCATACCGAAAGCACCCAGCAGAGTAATCCGCCCGCTCACATTATTCAGGCAACAGTGTAACCAGTTGTAACCATTTCCCTAAATGCTGCACTATAAGCAGGAAATAACCACTACTATTTTTAGGAAGTTTAGTTTGAAACTCAAAACAAACTATGGTCCAGCTGGACATGGACTAGAGTGTGAAAACATTTAAAATCAGAGATCAAACATGTGAAGATTTAAATTATATGTAATGATTGATATATTTTCGCGAGTCTTTTCTAGCTAATTTTACGTGTGGAATTTTGTCTGTTTTACCTTGATAAACTCTTTTATTTTAGTGCGAAATATCAAACCAATGCCTTCAGCTGTTTTGAGCCTGGGACGACCTCTTGACGATTGTAAATCGTTTCAAGCAATGGTACATGTATGTAATTACTTTTCATCAATTTAATGTTGACAAAAGTTCGCATTCAAAAATGGTGGGATAAGAGTTAAACGTTTAGTATAAAAACAAGTACTTGTACCCAATGCTCGTACCGCTTCGTTAAAGTTAAAGAAAGTCATTCTATTACAGAATGTGAGTGTAGAGAGGAGTAACTTTGTTTTCGTATTGTTTTACGCGAACATTTCATCAGTTATAGCATGTAACTTTTACCATGGTACGATTCACATGCTTGCTTTGGTCTTGTTTATAGGATTTTAACGTCTTATTACAGTTAAGGTAATTTAATATTGAGAACAGCACCTTTTTGTCACAGCTAAATAAATATTGCATAATATAACAACACTGTCAGATGTAGTTTGAAACCTTAAAAACGAGATGTGTAGGTAGCGTAGCAGATTTATAGCGTGGTAAACCAATTGTGGGGAAAAAACTCCGTATATAGAACTCTGTATAGTCATGTAAAAGAGGACACTAAAATTATCGATTTTTAATACTTACATGACCTGGACTGATAATAAAACGGACGATAACCCCACAATTTAGTGAAATGTTTTATTGATATCTTATTATAGACACATGCGCCGAAATTAGCTGCAAAAACTATCAAAGTCATCGACGCCGGGAAAAAAATGGAGATTACATGGAACAACGGTGAAACATCGAGGTCTGTAACACTATTCGTTTGCAACAAGTGTTTTGATTGGATGCGGACTATGTTCTTATCTGCGGTAGAATCATGATTAATTGTGTTGAGCTCCTCCCATCGCACTTAAGCCGCGCCCCGTGTCTGACCAAAACGATATGGCGTCAAGCTCGCCTCTTAGTGAAACCGTCTGATAGGCTAGCAGGCGACAGAACAGAAAGGACCGATGAAATATATTTGGTGAATAGATTTAAAAGTAAAAAGTAAACATTCCTTGTTCTTATACCTCCATTTATTACTGAAACTTTCGTTCATCCGTGTGTAGGCATCTAGTTAGATCCGAAATCAAATGAAACATTTCACATGTGTCGCACAAAACTCTTCACAGATCTAAACAAATACTCACCGATTTTGTCGATACGCACAGATTGGTAAGCATACTGACATGGAAATGTAAGAATTTGGTCAATAGTAATCCAAATGTGTCGTATAAACTTTGGTAACAGGACGTTCACGAACAATCCAAATATTCCGCCTTGTCAACATACAGATCGAGCGCTCGGCAGTATGGGCGGGACAAATGACCGACTTTTGAAAGCTTCTTTCTGATTGGTCAGTTCGCTGCAGAATGACACGTCGCCAGCACAGGTCACAGAGTACTTTTCTACGTACTTGTAGCAAGTAAATACAATGTTTCTAAACATACTAGCGTAGTATATTTGTTAAAGTGTGTTAGAATGGGGATAGTACGTTGTTTTTCGTGTCTATACTGGCGATGAGAACATGAAATTTGGTTTATCTCTCGACCTATCGGTCTCGAGTTCAAACCAAATTTCATGTTTTAATCGCCAGTATAGCCACTCAAAACAACGCACTATCCCCTAAATAACATATGGAGTTGTCAAGCTTTGTTGTATCCCTATTGCCGATATAAATAATTGTACAAATATGTTTATTGGTAGATATAAAAAAAACTACGAGCAAAGTAAATTTAAATATATGAAGTCATAATCACTGAGAATATATTAATTTTATTCCAGATTTCACGCTGTGTGGCTGAGACATCATTGTAGATGTGTCGAATGTTACTGCCCATCAAGTAATCAGCGATCATTACACTTCGACGAGCTGCCACTGGAAGTTCTCATACTGAAGGCCACACTATCAGGTAGCACAAAAATGTGCAATTGTGAAAACAATATTTCAATAATTGCTATGTTATCTGAAAAGAAAATTAAGAGACCAGGGCCGCTTTCGGTTATTGCTATCTAAACAGTTTAACCGGTTGGACAAGAGTTGTTCGTTTATGAAATAATGTCGGACCTAGTAATATGATGCTGTTTTCATGCGAACCTTTACAAAGCCCTGCAAAGACCTGCAAAAATATTTGTAGGTCTGCAAACATACCAGAAAATGTTACAATTAGAAAACAGGCCAACCGTTTATTCCACATAAAAGAACAGGCCCCATATTCAGTTGTATTATGTTGAACGTCTTAAAACAGGCTAGAATAGACCTGCTTTATCTCACTGCGTGTCGTAAAGGGAGACCATAAACGTTAATCATTTGCCCCAAAGTTATAACCTTATTGTCATGTATGTGATCAGTCATTTACAGTCAAACATTTATGATTGAATGCGCTGATTTCAAACAAATACGTAACAGATTCTATAATATACCGTCTGTGAAAAGTTTACTTGATACAGTTTCTGTGTAATCAAAATATGAATATCTACACTGAATTAATTTTTATCATATAAATAATATCTTACAACCAATTCGTTTCCTGTTGATGTACGTTTTACGTTTTTACGCCTTTACACTTTATTTCACGTTTTATGTATTCATTTTTGTGAATGTCTATTTTTACAGTGCTGTGTTTGCCCCATATGACTTCATTGTCGCCGGGTCGTAAAGCCATACAAAAAGAACACTTTACCCCAATCTTTATATATATATATCTAACACACCTGCGGCGTTTCAGACAGTGCCACAGTTCAAATACAATGGAACGATAACAGTCACATTGGGGAATTTACGCCGGCATTCCTGCAGAAATACTGTTACTCTCAGAGCAGTTTGGAAAAGAAAAAGAATTCTCTGAAAACATCCTTATATACCAAGGTACATTTATCTTATATTGTTTTGTTTTTTTTATAATTTGTTTATCTTATATTATAACCTACATGCAATATTCAATAATGTGAAGTCCCCTTTGCAGATTGTAAACTACAATCAAGTCTATTTTCATATTATTTTTTTAAACCTTCTGTTCATGAGAGAAAGGGGAGGCCTGTGTTGATGATCGTTTATCATATATTTGATATCAGATCAAGAAGCAATCGAATTCGGCAACATTCATAGCTTATGAAAGCCCCTCCTTTTTATCATATGTATTACATTACGCGTTTAGAAATGGCTAAATGTAAAGGTAATTTTTTATACCTGCAGCCTTGTGTCCCCAGTGTTATGTGGCAGGACTTGGAGGAGGAAAGCTACGTACACAAGTAGGTATACGTCTATTATATAAATATTTGTAATAATGCTGACATTGTTCTCTGCCATTGTGCCTCTTGATATACACCTGACTAAGGTGAGGATTGTTCTCATAGCAACAATCGATGTAATTCGGTAAATATATCATTAGCGACCTATAGGAATAATCAACGTCCTCTGTCTGTTTGTACCAGGTGGCTGAGTGATATCAACGAGCACGGGCTAAGTTTGGTCAAAGGCGCACCAAACACAATCGATTTGATGTTGGAGGTATGCAAGAGTTCTGATGTTTCTCGTGTATATTTTTAAAATACATTCCAGTGTCATTTGTATATATGATCAAAATATTATCTTGCTTTAGGGGATTAGATATCATGTAGAATATACTTTGAATCTGATGCCATGTGTAATAAGTTGTTTTACACGAGTTTTATTTACATGTAACCTAGTGCTATTCCGATTGGTTGACTCATACGGTGTCTTAACGCGAATAACGTATATATACAATATGAAACAATCTATGGTAATTAACAAATATCAAATATATATTCACAGCAACAATATCACAGATTGGAATTTAAAACAATAAAGTATCATCATTCGTTAATAAGCACAATATATGAATTGTTAAAGAGAATATCGACCTGTCAATTAAATAAAACTTTATTTCTTCATCGCCTAAATAGTTAGCTTTGTTTTATTTTTTCAGTGCATACCAAGACACGTAGCACCCCTGGTCAATAGCACGTATGGAAAGGTAAGCTATCAAATACAGTCTCTGTACTATTAAACTTAAAGCAGGTTTGACATCATAATTTAGTTTGATTCGATTTGTGATTCTTTTAACATTATTAAACAAAAACTTTGCATTGTAAACTTCCAGATTCTGTTTACTGATTTGGCGGACATTTCCTGGCCTCTAATAGGTTGAAATTTTGTATTGACAAATTTGCTAAAATTAAGTTTGTATGTGTATATTGGTTTAGTTTGGTTTTATTTTATTTAACGTCCTATCAACATCTCAGGTCATCTTGTGTATGCCTGCATGTTTGTATGTGTGCTGGAGACTGCGAACAACTTCCGTTAACATCTTTTACATCATTTAAGGACGTGTGGTTTTTGGGACTTTTGGAATGATCCCCATTGCAATCAGTGCTTTTAAGTCCCCTACAGGTGAAACCGAGGAGGGGGGAACTCTCCGTCCGTCTGTGTACCAATGTTTGTCAGCGGTTTAGTGGCTTCATTCCTTGATCAAACTTCACACAATTACAAAGGACTATTATATCTCGGACAGGTTTGAGTTTTAGGGTTGTTAGGTCAAGGTCAAGGTCACCGTTACTATTTTCAGAAGTTCTTGTTTTCTACAATTCCTCTGTCACAATACTAACATTACAATTTCTTGTATTATTATTACATTAAAATCAGTTACAAGCTAATTGTATACTTTTCATTTTCCCAAATTAACAACAAAGGGCACCATTTTTATAAATCATTACAGTGTAATAGCTAACGGGGGCCGGTAGGGGACATGTATTGCTTTAGCAATACTCAGTATGCTTGTTTGAAATTGCGCTTTCTCGCTAATAATGCCAAACACAGTGACAAAGGAGTGTTGACTTACAGTCAAAATCATTTCAAGTGAATTTTCTAATGACTACAGACATGTAGGTCTGAGATCAAAATTGGAAAAACTGTCACGAACTGAATGTTGTGAGAGGTAACTAACGTAGTCCTTCACACCTTGCAGAATGAGAGATTGACTTTTATGGACTCTATTTAGTCTCTCTACTTCCTTACAACCATTCTGTTTCCTAGCGCCTGCCTCTACAATACCTCGTTTTTTGCCTTAAATCGCTGAATGCTACAAAGCTACAAACAGGGGCGCCAAGACAAGAATATTGAAACATTAAGACCAGCCTCATTTCATAGCATGCCAAGAACCATTTAAAGTAAAATAACCTTACAAGATTGCGTCGACCTTCTGCCAACTCGAGAACAATCCTATAATAACGTTACATGGCTTAAATCCTTTTCGAAACAATATCTGTCTCTACAATTTTTATACTATCTGAAAGCTATTGATCTATTTTTTCAAAAAAAATGAGTCACTAAAGCCACTTTTAATATTCAAGTTGACGGTAGTCTTTACCTTTACATATGTTCGATGTCATTTTTATTTTGCAAATGTTTTTGTCGATCAATTGTTGGCCATAATGACCTCTCCTGTGTTGATCGGCCGTTAAGCATGTGATAATAATAGAGTAAATACCTTCATTAACCCGTGCAGGTATTGGGAGATAAAAGACCTGCTATATCCCACTGCATGATCGTAAAAGGCGGATATTGTGTCCTCTGTGAATTGTTAAAAACGAACAAACTAATTCTCATAGTGAAGAAAGCATTTATATATGCTCCCATGTCTGGTAGTACAACAATAAGATGAAGCTGTGCTCAAAGGGGTTGTTTGTTTACCTAAGCCGGAAGTTAGAGGCCGGATGTCCGGTCATACTAAATCGTGACACGACAGCACATAGAGCAAAGCAGCGCCACAAAGTACTGCTAGAGTGGAATCTTTTCCACATTAGCTTAGAGTTATTTTGGAACTAGATCATCGCAGATGGTTTTTGCTGTTCTGAAACATAACACACTTTGTCAGTGTCATACTTGTGCATTGGGAGACACCGCCAGGAATACAAAAGAAGTTAGAAAAGGAAGAAGACCAAGAAGATAGGAAACGAAAAAGATCACAAGTGTTGCAATGTGGGCAGCAGATCATTTTGGTCTCTTCCATGTCGTCTTCGTAGAAGACGCAGAAGAAAACCCCGATTCTGCAGGGGACCAACATTAGTCGTCTTTTACGATAAACAGGAGCATGTATTGAAAATGCCTTGTTCGATATATGACCGCCCAAAAACTAGCCTCACTTTGTCTATACCACGAACTGAACATTCCTATGAAGTTTCATTGAAATCCTGGTTCACTAGTTGTCAGTCTGTGTTTGGTGACTCTGGCATGGTATTTCAGTGAGATAGCACTTTAAAGTCGGTTTTAGATCCGCGCTATGTACTCAACATACTCTGCCTGACTATGCACATACACGCATACACAAAACACATAGAAGCACGTGCTGATATAACCTTAGCTGTTGATAGGACGTTTAACCCTTAATAACCAACTAACCTAGCAAGACACCGAATCACATTTTCTTTTCAAGACGGCTTCAATGAGAACCATCTTTGATTTCCCGACTGGCACCAAAGACGGCCAGACTTTATCAGGACCATGTTCTGCAGATTGAGATGAATTTTACTGCAGTAGCTTCATTATAACTTGATGTTAAGTTCAAAATATTTCTTTTAAGATTATAACAGTGGAGGCAATATGGATACTGACCTACCTGATAAATCCCTTAGGTAGTATTTGAGTTAAAACTAACACACAACGGACGACATAAATAGCATAAGGTTACTTAGCCCTTTAGACTTAACAAATTCGTTTCCCTTTTTTTAGATTTATAATGCGATTGTCGAAGAAGCAAATCCCATCAATTTATCTTGTTCGAGGAAAAAGCTACAATACCATATGGACATGGTCTACTACGAGTCAACACCCGGGATACAGTTTCTACATTGCATCAGGTAACTAACAGTTTTCCTTTTTTGGTGGCCACGGTGGCCAAGTGGTTAAGGCGTCTGACATACTGCTACCGCTAGCCCTTTACCACTAGGTTCGAGGCCTACGTTGGGCAGTCGCCAGGTACTGGCCGCAAGTTGGTGTCTTTTCTCCGGGAACTCCCGCTCTCATTCACCACCAAAGCTTGGCACTTCCTTAAATTACCATAGCTGTAAATAGGACGTAAAACACAATCGAACAGAACTTGGTTGTTTGAAGTGATAACTTGAAAACAGACTATTACTTTGGTGTGTCCTTCATTACTAATTTTTTCTGTTGGAATTATTACTGACGTCGAAGAAGAAATATGGACATTTTCTTTGTCATACTTCAACATCGTGTTTAGGCACTGGTGCAATAATATATGACCAACCTCGATGAAAATTGCTATCAGTGCTTCTGTATGTGCTCGTTAAACTCATCGCATTGTTCAATTCAGAGTTACAGTTTCAATTCCTCGGCAGCATATAACTATTCAATAACGAATCAAAGGATACAACAATGATTCATCTGTTATTTTTTAACCTACTATTTTTAGATTTGATGAAAGCCTTGTAGGAGGGGAAACCGTCTTCGTGGACATGTTCGCGATATGTGAGGAATTTAGACGGACGAACCCATTAGAGTTTGAGATTCTTTGCTCTTTTCCAACTGCGTTTGAAGTATCAAGGTAAGTTGTACATGGTCGAGACAAACTGTTAATTTCACACTGCCATGTTCGCTTTAACATTGAGTCAATGGAAAGGTGATACATTCATTAGAGTGTGAAAGTGCCTAGGGTCACCCTCGGATTCGCCTCGGGTATTAGTGATACCCTCGGGGTGACCTTAGACACTAACACACTATAATGAATGTAGTATTTATATAATTTGACACCAAAAAGCAATCTTCAATAAGTTTCATTTGTATTGTTCCACGGCTAGTCGACAACTTAAGGATGTACTCTTCTGTTCAATTATCAATTTTAAAAGATGCTTTTTAAAGCCGTAAAAAAGTCTGCTTATTGTTTCCAGAAAATAATTTACAATTGTATAAACATTCATACATTTTTTTAGCATAAATTTGCGAAAACCCAAATCCGTGCTGTTACAAGGAGGCAATTACACCACAATTCCCTGCCTCAGGCACTTATGTAAGCATTAATCACACACATGGAGGAACGTTCTCAAATCGCCTTTGTTATTGATAGGACGTTAAACCCTATACAACCAACCAACCAGTCAAAAACTAATTTCACCAAAACTAAAATTGGATGTTTCGTTGATATCTTTAACAAAACAGCATGAAAACATATTGTTTTACATTTTCTATTCTGCCATTAACTCCCTTTCAAAACATACGATAAAGAAAACAAACTTAAAATCAGATTTTTTTTAATTTCTCCGAGGACTAAATCTTTACGTTGTTACGGACCAAACAAAACTAAAAATACACGTTTACATGAGGGAATACATCAGACATAAGTTAAAAGGAAAAAGAAGCAAATATATATAAATAAACTATGCATAGTATACAAAGATTTGTTTCAGACAAAATGAATATAAAAAATCCTGTACAGAACACACCAAACCCTGAAGGTACATATGTAGTAGTTTTGAGTCATTTATTATTTCAAATGTATAAATGCAGAGAATTATTCGAAGCGGCTTTTTGAAAAGAGAAGAAAAGGACTCCCTAAATGCAATTAGTGTACATGGAGGTCTGCATTTACATAAACATAGTTTAGAAATATTTTTTCTGGTAAACATTGCATTTAGAACTTCGTGAAGTAAGAGTTTGAGTGCAACATTCCCGGAAGGAACAAATGTTCAAAAAATGAAATATTGACTTGATTTAGTTAAAAGAAACTGTTTCATTTCAGCGATACCCCAGTTAACTTGCTGATAATGAGGCCAGTAATCAACCTTAATAGAGAAAAAGAGGTGGGATTTTTTATACTTTATTTTGACAGTATTTTTAGCAACAACAGTTGTATTCGTTATCATGCGATTTGGCGAAGTAAAAAGACGTTAAAGAAAACATAATGATTAGATTTTTCTTAATTTTTCACTTGTATTAATGAGACACGGTAGTCCAGTGATAGGACGCCGGACTCGTGACCAAAGGGTTGCGGGTTCGAGTCACGGCACAGCACTGTGTTGTATTCTTTAGGAAGATACTTTACTCCGCTTGTTTCAGTCTACTCAGCTATAAATGAGTACGTGGTTGTGCAGTGCTAGAATTGTTGAATGCTAGCTGTGAGCGCCGAAATGGCAGCACTGGCTGTATGCTCCCTAGGGTTTGAGAAAGATATTGGCTGGGTGCAAAGGCCCTATAACCACGGATAATAATTTGTGAACCGCTTTGAGACGACCTACGAACTAGGTTGTGATAAAGCGGTATGTAAGAACCTCAAATTATTATTAATTATTATCATTATTATTAGGGTTTGTATTGGAACCAGATCATTTTGTGATTTTGAAATGGGGGAGTAGTGTGGCAGGTTTGAATTGTACATAGGATTACGGGTCGCCTTCTAGCTTCGAGCTAGAGGGAACTCCCCTTTAGCTCAATGGTAGATCGTCCGACTAGGAAACTGAAGTTCGAGGGTTCGATCCTCGGTGGAAGCACACTATTATCTTTCCTGTTACAAATGGTATGCGTGGCCCTACCTGTGGTAACAGGGAGTAAGAACCTTGGTTGTGGTGTTCAAGGGCGAACATATTTAAAATGGGGGAGTAGTGTGGTAGATTTGAATTGTACATAGGATTACGGGTCGCCTTCTAGCTTCGAGTTAGAGGGAATTTTCTCTTTAGCTCAGTGGTAGAGCGTCCGTCTAGGAACCTGGAGACCGAGGGTTCGATACCCGGTGGAAGCACACTATTCTCTTTCCTGTTATAATAGTTACAATATGCTTTTCATACTTACTGATTGTTTGGAATACGTGATGTTTGAATCGTACATGCCCGACGCAGACGACCTTTGACCCTGTCGTCAATCGGTTATTCACTATATTGTTGACGGGTTGTCCTCGACGCAAGTAATACAATGCTCTGTTCGAAAGTTTATTTATTCTTTTAATTTTAATTATGTTTAAACCCCTTTAAAAATAATTGATGTAACATTTATACCAGGTAAAGGGAAATAACTCCTTTAACAAAAACAATGTAGCGCCTGAGTGTCTATCAATGCATCGACAGAGCAATAATATCAAACAATTAGCAGTGAGACACCTGCATATATTTGCGATATTTGTATTTCAAATAAAACGAACTGACTTTTCATCGGATATGTTTCGTTTCAGGTAGTACCTCCTTCACATATAAACATGTTTCACGATTTCAATCCGCGGTTTCATACCGACAATTTAGCAAAATTCTCAATCCGATTCTTTGTTTTACCCTTACACGTGTTTGTCTTTGTAGATAATAGTTATATAACAGGAAAGTGAGTAGTATGTTTCCACTTTGCATCGAACCAACGAAGACTTGATCACTATGACCTTTGCAGTACCTTAACTGTCGAACAATTTCAAAATAAATGCATTGTCTGTTTATGTGTTGTCAACTTGTCAAAATTCCCGATTCTGCAAGGGATTCCAAGTTAGTCAGCTTGTAAGAAATACAGTTCTTTTCCGGAACCTGCAATTGTAATTTGAAATACCTCGAACAGGTGTTGCCCTTCGGAAGTGCGCGTGCATCATATCTTCCAAAATGTGGTCTGGTTTGGTTTGGTTTAATATTGTTTCACTGCCACTAACATACTGCCGAAGACACACAGCAGGACATCCCCACCCGGTCATATTATACTGACAACAGGCGAACAAGTCGTCCCACTCCTAAATTGCTGAGCGTAAAGCAGGAGTATAAACTAACATTTTTACAGACTCTGGTATGTCTCAGCCAGGGGACAGAGACCCAAAGCGTTCCTCACAGGGGCGAACGCTCAACTAAAGGCCAAAAGTGAGGCATTGTCAGGGGAGACATTAGGAAGAAGAAAGTTGTTTAGAAAGAAGGAAAAGATTAGATCTCAAATTTAGTCGCCTCTTACGATCGTGCAATGGGGGCAGCAGGTACAAATATTACGCCCTACCTGCAGGAATGCTACGCAAGGAGGCAAATACATCAACATATTGCCTCCAGCATACATAAAACGGAAATCCAAGCACCGTTGCTAAATCGTTTACAGGAACAGGTTACTTAGACCAGATGAAAATTCCATAACAAGAGAATGATGAATACTTTAGTTTACATAGAGTGAAAGACAATTCAATTGTTTTGTTTTTAAAATGATCTATTTACATTTTGGACGCAATATATGTATTTGTCATTTTGCTTGCAGATTATCGGGGTATATTGGAGCCCAATGGCGTCCAGTGAATTGCAGATTGCAGAGGCAAGAATTTAATCGCCACCAGTTCTATTCCATAGTTTTGTTCTTTTTTTTGTAACATCAAAATTATTAAATGTTTAAATTAGTTTGTATCATTAGTTACATTAAAAGATAAAGCTTAGTTGGAATATTATTCATACGTAGATAGATTTTTTTATCCATAACTATTAAGGTTATTTTTAACTACTAGCATGTGTCATAATGGAAATTTCATATGTCAGTCAAACCGGCTTGAGACACTTACTGAACTCTATTAAGTGAACACATTTTAATATTGCTTTGCAGTCATTTTTGTTAATTGAACCTAGATAAAGGAATCGCCTGGTATAACAGACATCTTTATTGACTAATTTTCCAACGATTAAAAATTTGTTCTCTTGTTTTTATGACCAGCAGCTAATTTCAAGGATCAGCAGTGATTGCATTCATAGAAATAATCTGAGATACACATTTTCCCTTTAAGGAAGACGTGCTGGATTATTGCAGAGCGAAACAGTTATTTGCAAGAGCCATCTCCAACTTTCACATCCAAGTTAGTATTATTTTCAAAATTACAATTTATTTTACCTTATTCACACATTATCGTTTTACGTCCTACTAGGTAGTTAAAAGAATGGGCTTGTTATATCCCGTTTCATGTACGTAATGTTAGCACCTGCAGAATGCAGTGTTTGTTTTCTTCAGTGTCTTCTATTAAAAACATTATTGAAGAAACTAGCAATACCGTAGGAGGCAACTAATGTGGATTGCACTGCAGAATTATAATCGTTTCTTGCCTTTTACTTTGGAGTACAAAGCGTCCAAATAAATATGTTGCATCCATGACAACTGCTGCCATCTTTAAACTTAGGGCAACCTATAGTTATCATGGTTTCCGTCCCCTGTCAGTCCGCGCTTGGTTTCAGGAAATTAATTCGTAAACCGAAAGACTTATCTTTCTGAAATTTGACATGGTGATAAAATGTTAAATGTAGATGTGCAATAGGAGTTTAAAAACTTGCTAAGTTCACTGTTAACAAAGTACATGTAGACCGTGAGGGGTACGATCCTAATCTTAGAATCCAAAAGATTTTTTTGATTTTTTTGAATTTGGCATGTTGATATAATGTGATTTGGGGAAATGCAATGGAGGTTTTAAAAGTTTAAGGTTAAGGTAAATGTTAACAAAATTAGACTGGGGGCATTAAGACACATTGCGGGACCATTGTTCTAGTTTCTCTCTTTTGCCTAACAATCTCTTTATTTACCAGCGCCTTCCATAGCAATACGTTGAACGTTGAGAATGGTAGTTACTATTCCCATCTAAAGGTTCAGTATTAAGGATAATCGCAACAAATGGTTTACCTGTTGTCAGTAAAATATGACTGGTGGAATATTGTGCTAGAACTTGCAGCATGGTCTATCAATGACGTAACTCTAAAAGTCGATAGCAGTATGACGTTGAACTTAACCAAACTGCACAATCTATTATAGAAACATTTTGAATACAATTGATTCATTACTGTACTTAATGCAGTTAAGACTGGAAAGTATCAATTTTATTGCAAATATGAATAAACTGACAATACAGTCATCATAGATTTTGAGTCACATTTATTTTGGGTGCACTCCCTTTAATGTATAACAATTTTATTCTCTTTATTAAATGTGTGACCTTCTATTCAAATGTCAGCTTTGTTTGCTATTATATACCATTATAATAAATTTTAGAATATAGTCAGACTTCGGCCCGGGGATATCATCGCATTCAACAACAGACGAATGGCACACGCTCGAAATGAATTATCCGGAAGTGGTGAAAGGCATTTGCAGGTTAATATTCCATTTCCAAAGCAATCGCTTTTATGAATGATAATAAAACCAACATCGAATTCCTTACAATTTAGCAAACAGTTATTTCAACATGTATCGTGAGAAGAGAAACATACTGGTCTTAGTCTGTTCGTCTTTGGTAAAGACCATATAGCCTACCATTGTTCACCTCGAGTGGAAAATGTAATTTACATACATGTCTCGGCATGGTGAACAGACCCTTTTAAAGTTGGATATTGGGACTCCTCGCATGCAGCGTTGTGGCCCCTATTTAATTTTCTTTGTCCAGGCTATAAACTGTATGGTTTTTGACTTGGAGACACCAAAACTTATTAACATGTTTATCTGGACATAGCAAAGAGCTACGTACTAAATTTGGGGCATCCTGCCTGTCACTTGCAGAGTTATGGCTTTTTGTCTAGTTTTTTGTTCTGACCATACAATGACTTAACAGAAAGAAACAATCCTCGTTCATTTAATACAAATCTATGAATAAAGAGTAGTTTTCTTTGATGGTCTACGTTGATACCAATAGTTGTACGTTTTTTGGGGTGTTTTTTCTGTTCCAGGGTTGCTACGTAAATAGCTGTGAATACAAAAGTCGTTTGATCACTCTTGCAAGGAAGTATGGAGATGCGTCGTCAATCAAGCGCGTCGGCAACATGGATTGGATGTAGAAACCATGACGGGCTTCACGTTAGGCTCGGGCCTTTTGAGGATTAGTATGAACGTCGTTGTTTACAAGTGTACACACATCAGTAGACTACATTGTTTTGATTCTATTTCGTGGAATTGACTTTGTACAGTGTAACAATTGGGTATTGCGCAGAATCAATTTCGCTCAAACATACTCATATAACGTAGTATTTAAAAATAGATATATTTTGTGGCGTTGTACAGTGTTACTCAACTGAATATATTCAATGTTCTATCAAATGCCTGTTTGATCTTTGTATCGGTTGACATTTTTTTAAATTATTAATGAGATCAAATTGTACATCACTGCTATCTGATTTATGTTTAATTCTTAGAAACGAATACTTAACTGCTGAAGGAAAAAGAAGTATCCTCTTATTGCAGATGATGGCATATTGTGCATGAATAATATTTTGGAGATACTGCTGATTCCACCATTTTCTTAAATGCCTCTGGCAGATGAATTGGGAAATTTATGACGGGATAGGGAAATGTGGTGATCAGATACATTTGTAAAACGTCCGTTTTAGAGATGTTTACATCCTAACTAAAGGAAATACGTATGGATTTGTTTTCAAAGATTGAAAGCATGCATTTAATGCTACTGTTATGGTGTATTTAACATTCATTCGAATGATCGACCTCCGTTACAAGGAGTGTTTAAATGAAATTTCAAGACATTATTAATCACGCCTCCGGCAAAAATACCATGCAAATCACAAAGCAAGGCTCGCTTTCGGAACACAAATTGAGTTTCAATTCTATCATTTTCTTGCTCGGTTTTTTCCCAATTTTACAGGAAGTTGAAACAAACAATTCCCTCGCTTTATTACCATGAAACACACCATCATTTCTTTTTGTAGACAAAAAGGATATTAATTACCGAAGCCGTCATTCAAACTGCTTATCTTTTCAATAAATATCTCAAACATGGTATTTCAGTGAGGTATCACTCTAAAGTTGGCATCAGATTCGCGCTGTCACAAGGAGGCAAATACACCAACACACCCTACCTCCAGCACACATTTACACACACACGCATACATAACACAAATGGAGGCACGTACTAAAAGGACCTTGGCTGTTTACAGGACGTTATACAAAATTAAAGCAAAAATTCAAAGGACATATTCCTCAACCTAACAATGAAACAGTCAATCGATAATCAGTCAATCAAACCGTCGATAAATAATCATTCAATCAATAAATTCACCGAACATAGGTTTATTGCTATCAGATACACTTCACACGCGTGCTTCAAGGCATCCTCTCTACCGAAAGCTGTTGAAAGAAAATCCTGTACAACCAATCTACAGACATAAAGATATTCTATTGCATTGACAATTACAGTTGTTTCCCTGTATTTATGTGTCAACAATGTGACAAAAACATAGATATATTATTCATTCTGTTTCCATTTGATTGACATGCCAATAGTATGACAGGAGATGAAAACGATATAAACAACCAACGCAAATTCTAGTAACGATCTTTGTTTTGTGGTTTGGATGGCATTTCTGCTGAAGGCTTGATCAAGGATGTCTTGAAATTTCATTTAAGCACTCTTTGTGACAGAGCTCGTTCTATGTGTATTGACCATTTTTAATGATTTAAGGTTCACCAATAGAACAAATGTACTTATCTTGTAAACGTTCTCTTTTCTAATTTACCCACATATCATTCCCCTTTGTCATTTACAGACAGCTGATATCGTTATTTGTTTTCTCATGAATGTTTCGAACCGTTTTGATATGTTTTCCGATAAATGTGGATACTGACAGTGTACACTGATTGAACTGTTTATTATAAAACAAGCCATTCGGATTGATATGTCTCGCCTCTACCCCGCTTTGACCATCAGTGCACACGTCAGGATTGGTTGGTCTAGCAGTGATAGTTTCAGAGAAACTAACTTAAACGCAAAAACTTAATATTGATGGAGATTCTGACAAAGTCAATGGACCATGAAAGGTAGGCCGCATTACGCATTTGATGCATCGGTGGAGTTGTACTACCTAAGATGCATCTATGGTCCAGGTGTGGTTGGTGTAGCACTTATACTTTCAGTGAAACTTACTTAAACGCAAAAACTTGATTGCCTATTAGGCTTGTTCTATTATTAACATACTAGAAATATATTGCTTCACCATATAACAAAGTAAAAACGAATAACCTCAATGTTTTAATTTAATATTTGTGATACTGCTTTAGTATTTCCACGTCAAAGGGGAAACAGTACTTAACCTTTGGTGCGCGGAAATCGAGGTTTTCGGAACAAAAAAATCGAGTTTCCATTCTATCATTTTCTTGCTCGGTTTCTTTCCAATTTTACAGGAAGTTGAACAAACAATTTCCTCGCGTTACTACCATGAAACACACAATCATTTCTTGTTGTAGACAGAAAGTCAATCAATAAGTTCAGCCGTCATTCAAACATCTAATCCTTTCAACAGATGTCTTAAGCATGGTATTTTAATGAGGTAGCACTCTAAAGTCGGCATCAGATCCATGCTATCTCAAAGAGGCAAATACACCAACATACCCTGCCTCCAGCACGCAAACACACACGCACGCATACACTACACACATGGAGGCACGTCCTAAAATGACCTTGGCTGTTAACAGGACGTTAAACAACATTAAACCAAACTAAACCAATCAATAGGTTAGTTAATCATAAAAAGACGAAGTTATCAAAAATTCAATGAACCAATTCATCAACCTAACAGTGAAATAGTCAATCGATAATCAGTCAATCAAACGATCGATAATTAATCATTCAACCTATAAATTAACCGAACAATGTTTTATTGGCTATCAGATACACTTCACAAGCGTGCTTTAAGGCATCCTCTCTACCGAAAGCTGTTGAAAGAAAATCCTGTACAACCAATCTGCGGACATAAAGATATTGTATTGCATTGACAATTACAGTTGTGTCCCTGTATTTATGTGTCAACAATGTGACAAAAACCTAAATATATTATTCATTCTGTTTCCATTTGATTGACATGACAATAGTATGACAGGAGATGAAAACGATATAAACAACCAACGCAAATTCTAGTAACGATCTTTGTTTTGTAGTTTGGATGGCAGTTCTGCTGAAGGCTTGATCAAGGATGTCTTGAAATTTCATTTAAGCACTCTTTGTGACAGAGCTCGTTCTATGTGTATTGACCATTTTTAACGATTTAAGGTTCACCAATAGAACAAATGTACTTATCTTGTAAACGTTCTCTTTTCTGATTTACCCACATATCATTCCCCTTTGTCATTTACAGACAGCTGATATCGTTATTTGTTTTCTCATGAATGTTTCGAACCGTTTTGATATGTTTTCCGATAAATGTGGATACTGACAGTGTACACTGATTGAACTGTTTATTATAAAACAAGCCATTCGGATTGATATGTCTCGCCTCTACCCCGCTTTGACCATCAATGCACACGTTAGGGTTGGTTGGTCTAGCAGTGATAGTTTCAGAGAAACTAACTTAAACGCAAAAACTTGATGTTGATGGAGATGCTGGCAAAGTCAATGGACCATGAAAGCGAGGCCGCATTACGCATTTGATGCATGGGTAGAGATGTACAACCTAAGATGCATCTATGGTCCAGGTTTGGTTGGTGTAGCACTTATACTTTCAGTGAAACTTACTTAAACGCAAAAACTTGATTGCCTATTAGGCTTGTTCTATTATTAACATACTAGAAATATATTGCTTCACCATATAATAAAGTAAAAACGAATAACCTCAATATTTTAATTTAATATTTGTGATACTGCTTTAGTATTTCCACGTCAAAGGGGAAACAGTACTTAACCTTTGGTGCGCGGAAATCGAGGTTTTCGGAACAAAAATTGAATTTCCATTCTTTCATTTTCTTGCTCGGTTTCTTTCCAATTTTACAGGAAGTTGAACAAACAATTTCCTCGCGTTACTACCATGAAACACACAATCATTTCTTGTTGTAGACAGAAAGTCAATCAATTAGTTCAGCCGTCATTCAAACATCTAATCCTTTCAACAGATGTCTTAAGCCTGATATTTTAATGAGGTAGCACTCTAAAGTCGACATCAGATCCGTGCTGTCACAAAGAGGCAAAAACAACAACATGCCCTGCCACCAACATGCAAACACACAAGCATGCATACACTACACACATGGAGGCACGTCCTAAAATGACCTTGACTGTTCACAGGACGTTTAACAAAATTAAACCAAACTAAACCAATCAATAGATTAGTTTATCATAAAACGACGAAGTAATCAAAAATTCAATGAACCAATTCATCAACCTAACAATGAAATAGTCAATCGATAATCAGTCAATCAAACGATCGATAAATAATCATTCAACCAAAAAATTAACCGAAAATAGGTGTATTCACTCTGTTCCGCACAAAATAAATAAGTTTTACGGTAAAATAACTTTCACTTATATATTTGCATTATCACGATTAAACATTGCGATTATTTATCAAACTGCAAGTAAATTAACAGGTTAAAGTGACGTATATTTGCATAACCGTGCGTGCGATACTTGTATTTATCGCTTATTTTGTTCTTCTTCTACCACCTCGATAACAACAGCAATATTTTTCAGGTTAACTCATCAAAGCTATTATTGTTCAAAGCGTGCAAACTCTTAAGTCTACCCTTGTTCACCTGTGTAAACAAAGAAATTGGGATGTCGTTCGATTGTCGCACTGAATGGGTAAATAACAATTGTTATCATCATGGCTGGCTGATCGGGACCTAGTCATTGCTGCCGAAACATTTACCCTAGTTAAATTGGCACCTTCGAACATTCGACTTAAGCGGGGGAAAGTTTAGTATGATTGCTAACGTAGGAACTGAAATATATTCTCGACACAACCACTACATCCGAATGTAGTGTGCGAGACAACCATGCTAAATTTACTGATATAAAGAGGGCAAAGCATCGGGACCGAGGCAAACATTCAAGTCAACCGCTGTATTCGATTATAGCACGTTCGACAAAAACACGTTTTACTGTGTCGAGAAGAATAAATAAACAGACGAACCTGGTATCTGCACTTGTCTTTTTCAGGTTAATTAATCTGGAACTACGGAAGATACATATCGACTTGTGACAGTAGTATATCGAGAGGACTGTATTAAGCAGTTGTAATTGCAGGGACACATATGGTCCCTGTCCAAATCACAGTAAAACACTTGTTATTTGATTCATTGACCTTCAGCCAACGCGAGAAAATGGTTTTAGTAATAAAACAAATATAATAAAATCTCTCTTCGAAAAGGTCAATATAG